AAGTGAGAGCTTACAAGTCACAAATTCCCTATTACAAGTCCCTGTTCGGGCGCCATTTTGTAACGCACATTTTTGTGTACGTTAGAATTTAAATAGATTTGAGCGTCGGATAGACAGTCTAGCAGTGTGGGGTTTCTTTATCTAAGAAAATTCCAGGGGACAGAGTTAATCGGGAGTTATCAGATAATCTTGTAATAATATTAGGCCGAATGTGTAAACAAAGATAAGGGCAAACCTTTTATTACTGAATACTTTCGGTAATTTCTAATCTCTCTGGGATAGATGGATTAAAGCTTCCAAGTCAAATTAGGATTACTGAAAGATATGGACAATTTAAAATAAAATACGTAATTGATTCAGAGTGTGGTATTTCTCATGCGAGGCCAGCCCACAGGTGTTGGTGGTTTAACCACTCATCATAACATCATAATCAATTACGTTGATCGGAAAAATTGAATGACTTTACACTGGTGAACGGTGATAATTAACAAATTTCTTGACTATTCAGCTCGAATACTTTAATTGATATAATTTGAAATAGCCGTTTGTCGAGTAGAAAGGACACGATTGACTAACCAACAAAGGGAGGTTGGTGTCAATAAGCTCAGGACTGTTAGTGGAGGTTAGCAATATACAGCAATGTACTCTATGATACCTGTACTATGTTCTAATATCAAAGCCAATTAGCCTTAGGAGTGGTAGCGTCAGTTAAGATTCAAGTAGCAAGTAATTAGCAGATTATTAGCACACTGTATGTTGACTAACTAACGGTTTAAGAAGGTTAGCGTCAGTACAGGGATCTCGGGGAGTATTAAGCTGACCAACTAGCTGGAAAAGTGCTAGTGTCAGTTAAGAGACAATTAGTAGGTAATTAGCGGATAATTAGCAAACTGTTAGGCTGACTAACTAACGGTTTAAGAAGGTTAGCGTCAGTACAGGGATCTCGGGGAGTATTAAGCTGGCCAACTAGCTAGAGGAGTGCTAGTGTCAGTTAAGAGACAATTAGTAGGTAATTAGCGGATAATTAGCAAATTGTTAGGCTGACGAACTAACGGTTTAAGAAGGTTAGCGTCAGTACAGGGATCTCGCGGAGTATTAAGCTGACCAACTAGCTAGAGGAGTGCTAGTGTCAGTTACGAGACAATTAGTAGGTAATTAGCGGATAATTAGCAAACTGTTAGGCTGACTAACTAACGGTTTAAGAAGGTTAGCGTCAGTACAGGGATCTCGGGGAGTATTACGCTGACCAACTAGCTAGAGGAGTGCTAGTGTCAGTTAAGAGACAATTAGTAGGTAATTAGCGGATAATTAGCAAACTGTTAGGCTGACGAACTAACGGTTTAAGAAGGTTAGCGTCAGTACAGGGATCTCGGGGAGTATTAAGCTGACCAACTAGCTAGAGGAGTGCTAGTGTCAGTTAAGAGACAATTAGTAGGTAATTAGCGGATAATTAGCAAACTGTTAGGCTGACGAACTAACGGTTTAAGAAGGTTAGCGTCAGTACAGGGATCTCGGGGAGTATTACGCTGACCAACTAGCTAGAGGAGTGCTAGTGTCAGTTAAGAGACAATTAGTAGGTAATTAGCGGATAATTAGCAAACTGTTAGGCTGACGAACTAACGGTTTAAGAAGGTTAGCGTCAGTACAGGGATCTCGGGGAGTATTAAGCTGACCAACTAGCTAGAGGAGTGCTAGTGTCAGTTAAGAGACAATTAGTAGGTAATTAGCGGATAATTAGCAAACTGTTAGGCTGACGAACTAACGGTTTAAGAAGGTTAGCGTCAGTACAGGGATCTCGCGGAGTATTAAGCTGACCAACTAGCTAGAGGAGTGCTAGTGTCAGTTAAGAGACAATTAGTAGGTAATTAGCGGATAATTAGCAAACTGTTAGGCTGACGAACTAACGGTTTAAGAAGGTTAGCGTCAGTACAGGGATCTCGGGGAGTATTAAGCTGACCAACTAGCTAGAGGAGTGCTAGTGTCAGTTAAGAGACAATTAGTAGGTAATTAGCGGATAATTAGCAAATTGTTAGGCTGACGAACTAACGGTTTAAGAAGGTTAGCGTCAGTACAGGGATCTCGCGGAGTATTAAGCTGACCAACTAGCTAGGGGAGTGCTAGTGTCAGTTAAGAGACAATTAGTAGGTAATTAGCGGATACTTAGCAAACTGTTAGGCTGACGAACTAACGGTTTAAGAAGGTTAGCGTCAGTACAGGGATCTCGGGGAGTATTAAGCTGACCAACTAGCTAGAGGAGTGCTAGTGTCAGTTAAGAGACAATTAGTAGGTAATTAGCGGATAATTAGCAAATTGTTAGGCTGACGAACTAACGGTTTAAGAAGGTTAGCGTCAGTACAGGGATCTCGCGGAGTATTAAGCTGACCAACTAGCTAGAGGAGTGCTAGTGTCAGTTAAGAGACAATTAGTAGGTAATTAGCGGATACTTAGCAAACTGTTAGGCTGACGAACTAACGGTTTAAGAAGGTTAGCGTCAGTACAGGGATCTCGGGGAGTATTAATCTGACCAACTAGCTAGAGGAGTGCTAGTGTCAGTTAAGTGACAATTAGTAGGTAATTAGCGGATAATTAGCAAATTGTTAGGCTGACGAACTAACGGTTTAAGAAGGTTAGCGTCAGTACAGGGATCTCGCGGAGTATTAAGCTGACCAACTAGCTAGAGGAGTGCTAGTGTCAGTTAAGAGACAATTAGTAGGTAATTAGCGGATACTTAGCAAACTGTTAGGCTGACGAACTAACGGTTTAAGAAGGTTGATAAAATAGTGAAAATCAATACAAACTAGGTAATGTTTGATTGCCGTCTCCTACCTTCGCCAGATGAATTCCAGGACACTAATTACTCCAAGGGTTCACGCCGGCCGTAAAAGGATTCTAAGAAGGTTAAAACTCGAACTGCTCGGATTTAGAGTCGTAGATCAACTGTCCGACCCCCTGGAGTCGATCGCGGCCGCAGAGATGGTTAGCCGCTTGTGCGCATGTCCGGTGGTGTGCAGGAATCGACACGCCGGTCCGGCCAAAAGAGTCCACGGCGCATGGTCGGTGGCCTACACGTTAAACACTGTCAACTGGACTGGCGGGCTTTTCAAACACTCTAAACTTGTACTAATTCCCCACTACATAAAATTAACTAATCATATAGGTAATTTTCTCAAGTAATAATTTCTGATAACTAATTTAAATATTTAAATTATTTATTTTCAAGCTGAGGTGTAATCTTATTCTAGTATTCAGGCTATTTCCTATTAAATAAAATACACTTTAGTAACATAGTAAAAAAAAATATGTTACAACTGGGACACAAATATTTTTTCCTTATGTTGTCACAAGGGGAAGGTAAAATGAACTCCTTATCAACATTGTGAGTTTATGGAAAATCTTATCAACAGTGACTATAAAAAAAGTATTAAGGGTCAAAAGAGACAAAAAACTATTTGACTAAAATATAATACAAATCTGCATTTGAAATGGCCAGTTCTAAGTCTCACTTGAATCAACATCTTTCTGGTAGTGGTAGTCTACATAGTTTTAAAATCCACGACTCCTTTTCCATCAAATTGGACCGTTAATACCCTCTAACATTGAACAAAGTATGCCCAACTTTATATATACGACGTAAACACAGCTTTTACTCACAGTATGGGTCAAAGATTCGTGAAATGCGACCAACTGCTGATGCGTGATTTACATGTAGGCTAAGTGACTATCTTTATTCCATAAAACAAATGTAATGAAAAAAAAAACTACGAATAAAGGAATATACTTGAGCAAATTATCTAAATAGCATAAATAGCTGCTTATTAGGTTATCAGCATTGCCCAGTTCGTATACTATTTATTTTTCAAATGAAACTCGAATTAATATAAAACATTCATTTGGTTAAAATAATATATCGGTTTGATTAACATAAAATAGTTTATACAGGCAAACTATCAGTTCTATTTCATGTAAAAATTAAACAGCCCCTAAATAAAATACAAAGATAAACAGTATTTGTTAATTATTATTTCTTTTTTTGCTGACAATATTCCCGTGGCGGAGCACGGGCGGTTAACTAGTTTAATCTTATTTTACACGATTTTTCATTTCAGATTTCAAAAAGCACCATTTAAACATACATCAACCCCGGACGAAGGACGGGTACTCTGCTAGTATACTATAAATAAGTATATAATTTAATTATTTATATTGTAATATCTTTTCAACATAACTGAAATGTATTAGTTTTAATGAAACGTTGAATGTTGGTATTGGAATGAAATTGAATTTTGTATTTCTTCCATTGAAACACTCCAAAAATATTTCAAACTGGAGGAAACTTAAACAAGAGTAGAGAGAGATTGAGATGACTATTTACATTGTTGAGGTACTTGTTCTAAATACGTTTCAGCAGCCTCCTGCATAATCAATTAATACCGATAATTCATCTTGTAAATAAATGTGGAAGAGAAATTGCCAATCTAGAATGTCTCGCTGGTAGCAATGTTAATTAATTAGGTGAGGCAGAAAGAGGACAAAAAACTCAAATTGACAACCATCTTAACTACCTATCAATATTTTTGCCCTGGTATCATTGATGTCTTCTACATTGTTATCGGCAGCCTACATCAATTGTTGGCCTATCGATGCTTATCCCTACCATAGCCTGTGTGATAAATAAAAAAAGTCATACAATATTTTTCAAGTTGAGAAAAATAAATAGTTTTATAAAACATTTAGTAGTTATCAGGGTGAGTGCACCAGCGAATGGCCATTTAGTTTGTGTAAATTATATTAAGCTTTTGGTTTTGCCTAGTCCATCACAAACAGTGGTTTATCTTTTCATATTGTCTTATCAAATTTAGTAACATCAATCTTGACACATTTAGTAACATCAATGTAGGACATGGTCTTTGAGATTCTCTTAACACATTTTTAAAGAATTGTTTCAGTGTTTTCACTAGATGAGGAAAAATTACTTATAAATACTGTATTTCTGTACCCACCTATTCCGGCTGCATTATATTCCTCTTCTTCTTGTTTTTTTGTCAGTTTGATGACATCTTCTCTACTAGCATGTTGCCTGTTATTTTTCCGTTGACCTACAGAATGCTTCAACTGTATTTGTTCCAATTCTTCATCAAATCTTCCCAGGTACCTAAAACGTTATGGTTTGTTAAAAATGTTTTTTTTTAATTGAACGATTAAATTGGAGTACATAAGACTGTTTCAAATAGTAGTTCAAAACATTTTCTGAAAAGTAAACGGCTTACTACCAAATTTAAATTCAACGACTGATTATTGTTGTTTTTATGAAAAGACTAGCTGACCCGGCGAACTTCGTATCGCCTAAGTTATAGACTTCCCCTAAGACAGACCGATGGAAAGAAAGTACCGTTACGTTTAATTTTCAAGATGATCTCGTTCGCATCGCTCAATCACGTCCTAGTTGAAGTTCGTTCGCTACGCTCACTCACCTTTGGTTTGGAGCTCGTTCGCTACGCTCACTCACCTTTAGGTTGGAGCTCGTTCGCTGCGCTCACTTGCCTTCAGGTTAGCTCGTTCGCTACGCTCACTCGACTCCAGGTTGAAGTTCGTTCGCTACGCTCACTCACCTTTTGGTTGCAAATTAGCTGTTGTCATAAATGTAAAAGAAATAATAGTGCTGCACCCTGTTGGTAATCCTTGTAACTTTAATGCTATTGAACATAAAAAAAAACAGAACCAACTTGTTTAATTGAAACAGCTGTTAAGATTCATTAATTCCATTTCTCATAAGGTTAACATGGGAAACTCCAGAGCCACTGGGGCGGAGCCCTTTTAAGAATTTCGAAACGGGAAATAGTTTACGTCCGATTCGCATACCTACAGAATTTACACACCAAATTTCATAACGATCGGTGAAGTCGTTCCGGAGGAGTTTGCAGACAAACACTGTGACACGAGAATTTTATACAGGGTGATTGATATAAGTGTGCCAGCCGTTTTATTCGAAAACTATAAGAGATATCAAAAAAAGTTAAATGGTAAGTGCCTTGGATTTTTTATTAAGCATTAAGCATATTAAGTCAAAAAAATTATTTAGCCGCCATTTTTCCAATATGGCCGCCAATTTTGATTTTTCTTATGGAACACCCTGTATTATATGATGTATTCTGGCAGAAAAAGTAATTTTAAGACGATTTTATTCTTGTGATTTTTTTCTTAAACCTAACCGTTTCAAAGATAATAATGGTTTAAGTTGTGAAATTTTGAATGGGTTTCGAGCAAAACAGCTGGCATGCTTGCTTAGGCCTTTATCGAAACTCTTTCTCATGCAGAAATTTCAAAACTTTAACCATTATTATCTTTAAAACGGTTAGGTTTATGAAAAAAATCACAAGAATAAAATCGTGTTAAAATTACTTTTTCTACCAGAATACATTATAAAATACAGGGTGTTCCGTAAGAAAAATCAAAGTTGGCGGCCATATTGGAAAAATGGCGGCTAAAATAATTTTTTTGACTTGACTATAATTTTTTAAATAAAAAATCCAAGGCACTTACCATTTAACTTTTTTTGATATCTCTTATAGTTTTTGAATAAAACGGCTGGCACACTTATATCAATCACCCTGTATATTAGATTGTATTTGGAAACATTTTGAATGAAATAAAGATAACCTTTTTAAAATCCTGTTTCAAAAATTGAATACTTTGCAATTGGTTCATAAGGATGGTTTTACTTGGTTGTTGTTGATGAATGATGCTAATCTAATGAAACAAAAAGTTGTCTTATCCTAAGTTTTTAACTCATTGGCGATGCAAATTTTTAAATTTCTCTACTAACACAATAATTTTTAGTCCTTTTATGTCTTATTAGTATTTCAAAACAATTTGTCCATTTTCAACAAAAATAAAAGCCATAAAGAAAAATCTGTTTTCTATTGCTCTAAGGCCCGGTTCACACGAACGACAAACCTAGCAGACTAGGCTTGGACTAGGTAAGCACTAGGTAAGCACGACTGGGTAGCGGACCACAGGATCAAATGGAGCCGTTCACACGAGCCTAGGACGCCGACTAGCTAGTTGTGTTCGAGCTTGATGTCCCAAAACCTAGTCGGGCCCCGCTTCCCAGTCCGTCGTGGCAACTACCCAGTCGCCCAGTCGAACTGCGTAGCAGTACATGTAGCCTTATGGGAGCGTTCACACGAGCGATCGGGTAGTCGAGCTGCAGCTCGCATTCTTACCTTTGTTCTCATTGTGCACCAGTGATGGAACCGAGTGGTTTTGATATCTATATTTTCACCTAGTCCGTAGACATGTCGCTCGTGTGAACCGGTGTGATCCTGTGGTCCGCTACCCAGTCGTGCTTACCTAGTGCTTACCTAGTCCAAGCCTAGTCTGCTAGGTATGTCATTCGTGTGAACCGGGTCTAAACCAATGTAAAAAGAAGCGAAACACGTAGTGTGCAATCCTTACTAAACTCACTAAATGCCGTCAACTTCCACCTAAGCCAGTTACAGTTTATTTAAGGTAACCCCTCCACTCCAGCAACGCCACATTAGCAAGCACAAAATGGATTGCGAAATCTAGGGGATTCAAACCCGTGCATGTAGAAAGAACTCTACGCTACACTCGTCAGTGCAACACCTTAGTCAACTGAGCTACCATGCCACTGTCGACTGAATGGGTCGATTGCCAGTATAAGCAATTGTACGTTAGATTTGACATACTAGTTGGGTTCAGCAGTATGACTATCTCTCGGCAAAATGTGGCGACGGGTCTTTGCAATGGGTCAAACATCAAGTTTACTATTACAATTATAACCATTATTAAATACGCGGAAAAACAAAGTTATAATGCAATGAATAACAGCTTACTTTTCGATTAAAGATGCAATCTCACCATGGCTTATTTCTGAGACATCTGCTGGAAGATTGTTTTGAAACCACAAGAACTTTTCACCCGTCACATTTAACTTCATTTGATGTACCATCTTTGATTTCTTTCTTGCTGATTCTCTGTAAATGAATATTTATTATTAATGTTTATGTTATTACATTGTAAGTTAGGAATGAATGTACTTTACATCCATGCTTTTACATCCTTTCAGTCTCATATGGACTTATTATAAACACTAAATACCTAATCCTTTTTTAAAGAAAATATCTAATTCAACTTAGGAAGATTTGTTTAAGGTTTGGTTACACTTGACAGGAAAAGAAACAGACAAACTTTGTTTAGTGTGACAATAAAGGACAAAGCAAGGAAACAACACGGACAGTCTAAGCCTGGATGATCTTTGTTAGCTGCTGTGAGGATAAGCCAGCTGTGCTTGGGCTACACTACATAGAACACAGACAATTAATTGTCAAAGTCTTTGTCTGGATGATCTAAGCAAGTTTCTTGCTCTTTGTTAGCATTGGCATTACATTGTTGTGTTGGTGAGGCATTATGTCCACTCGATACCATGTTTCTATTCCTTTTATTAGTCTTATGAACAGTCCACAAAACGTTTACTGTACTTCTTAGCTATGCACGTAGTTTATAAATCACTTGAAATTGTTTTCCAAGGTCGAATAAAATAAAATCATCTTTAATAAAATTGTACATTAATATATGAACAGAGTTAGTTTGCAGAAATATAAACAAGCACATTATTTTTCTTATTAATTACATAGGATGCTTACATAATGTATAAGTTAAAAACAATCTGTGGTTTAATCATAGTTATTGAAAGATGACCTATTCCTACAATATTTATCTGTTATTTATCTGTGTCTACAATTTTGTGTAATTGATACCTGATGACTACAACGTGTTTTGCTGTCAAATTTTTATTTTTTTTTGCACACATTACCTAAATTATTTAAACCAGAAAGAACATTATATATCTAACACATTTTCACCAAGGAATACAACCTTTTCCAGTTTGATATACAATCATGCAATGCAGTTAGGTAATGCAGGTATGCTTACTAAGTCTCCTATGAGTAGGGACTCATAGCAGCAATGGTGTGGGTTCAGATTCAGGTGCCCACGACTAATTTTCACCAGTACTGTACAGTTCAACTCTCATAGTGTATCGGCTCAATCTTTGCTGAGTAGGCCTATGTTCCATGTGTAGACCCGAGGCTTGTGTGGACAGAAAAAACATAGAGGCCACCAACCTCCTTTTAATACAAAAAATAGTTTTGTTCTTTCTGGTTCAGTGTGAAACTCCCCAAATGCCATTTGCAAGGTTTATAAGGAGCTTATTAGAAATAATCTAACAATCCAACTTACTTTTTTGCTTGTTTAGTCAGCTGACGAACTTTCCTTGAGTTGGGATGTGATAGATTTGCAACGGAGACACTTTTGACTTTACCCTGAAATTAATGCAATCATGATAACCTTGTCACAGCAATAAAATAGGCTACGATTAAAAATTGCAGTGAACATAGATAAATAAAATTTGTTTTGGAATTTTGGTATAACATTTTTCTTTTGTCTATCACGCCCTGTTTCGATTAGAGTTTGAAAAAACAGATTTAAATATTTTGTTGTGTAAACGTAACTCGAAAAAAGTTACCACATGTATCAAACTTCACGAGAAAACAACATTTCTGCAAACAATGAAAGTTATATGTTGACACTGGTGTATAAACACTATTGAAGAAGTTATTTAGTTGAATATGATTTGTCAACATCTTAAAACCTTAATACTTTTCAATGAAATTGTGACCATAGGCTACAAAGTAGACATTTTAAGCCAATTATGAGTGGAGATGAGTGTAGTAAAGTGTAAGTGTGGGTGAGGTTCATAATGTCCAAATTTCACAAACTCCAACGTCTAAAATATTAAATAAACAGTGCGTTTCATAACCTCCAAACTTCATAAACTCCAAAACTATAACTTTCAAATAAGCACAGTTTCACAATGTCCAAATTTCACAAACTCCAACGATAATATATTAAATAAACAGTGCGTTTCATAACCTCCAAATTTCATAAACTCCAAAACTATGATTTTCAAATAATCACCGATTCACAATGTCCAAATTTCACAAACTCCAACTTTTAAATATCAAATAAACAGAGCGGTTCATAACCTCCAAGTTTCATAAGCTCCAACGGTACAGTCTCTGCCATAAGTCAATCGAATTGGCGGGATACCGAGGCGGACGGGCCGAATGAACCTCTCTGTTTTACACAAACATACATTCACTCAACCTGCTCTGCTACACTTCTTTGTTAACATACAAATTTCAAATTGATATATTATTTTTCTGGAAAAACCAGTGCTCATTACTATGTAGCTAGTTTTTACCTTAACATAATTTTTATAATTTATTTAGGCAAATTAAAACAGATGATTGTTTTTTAACACCATAAAAAACATGAAAAATGTAGTAAGCGAGGAACTTTTTTATTTTTTGGTCAGGAAAAAAATTCCTGCGGCAAAGTTTTAGATCAAAGTATGAATTTTATTTTTTATTTGAAGCTTTTTTTGATACGGAGCCTGCTTGTATAATTTTTAAGCGATTAAAAATAGGCATAAAATCGCTTGGCGCGGCATTGGCGCTAGGAGTTTGGCCGGCTCAGCATCAGTTTACGGGATATAGAAACTGAGTTTCTAGCATTTAATTATCATTATATTACATCAAATATGTCATTACATTACGAAGAATGGTAACTTAATTTACAGGCGTATGTTTGTGCATTTTAATGCTTACCGGTAGTCTATAGTTAACAAAATTCTTTGATATAAATGCTTCCCCGATTGTAATTTCGGATATTGTCTTCGTGAAATGTGAAAAGGCATATAAAGATGTGGAGATAATTTAAGTTCTTAGTAAAACCCACTGAATTAGCGACCTGGCCCAGTTATTATTTCTACTTTTATTCTCCTTTCGTTAAGGTAAACTAAATTAGTGTAAATGCATCCCTTTGACTAAACTTTACCCTAGATTTGGTTCTGGTCAAGGTCAAAATAATATAAACAAAAATAGAAACTACTCTTATTCTAAGTTTATGTGGTGGAATTCCTGCTAAAAGTGCGATTGACTTTACATTCTATCGAAATAGGCCTATTTAAAACGTTCAGAGGGTTCATAGTTGAGACCATGGTTGAGGTCTAACATTTTTGCCACTGCAGTGCATGGTTTAGGGTTTGATTACCCATCTGTCGAAACCAATCACGAAATTACGTTTCTCCAGCATTGACATGCATATAAAGAAAAGGAAACTACCTCAAAATATTATTGTTATAGGTTTTGCCCTGTACTTTATTCATACTATGCATGCTAGGCTATATGATTTTAACCCCTTTTCCTTTCAGAAACAGAATGTACCTAGTTAAAAACCTTCTCCAAACAAAATTAATAAATATCGCTCACTGGAACTTGTCATAGTAATTGCTTTAGTGAAAAAATATATTGTCTCTACGAACTTTTTTAGTTTAATTCTCAGGTTAGTTCCAGAGTAGCCGTTGAGGTCATTCCACTTTAAACAAAATATTGATTAAACACTAAAGTAAGCGTCAAATGTTTACAGAAACGTTTAGAATATATCATCTCATTATAATGTTTTTGAAATAATTTATTTTTGTAAAAAAATACAACCGACTTTAAACGCTCTAAAAAGAATGAAATAATTTCAATAAAGTAAACTTTTGTATTAGGCAAGCTCACGTATTAAAAGTCGGCGCGGCTCTATGATGATTTTTGATACAAAATTGAAAGAGGGTGTCCATATTGCAGGTGACTATCTATAACTAAAGTTGTTAATCTGCATGTCTTTTTCATAGCTATGCGTTAAGTGTTATTTTATTACCGTAATCAGAGATCGGCATTATAGTGGTATTAACGAGCATCTTTAAAAAGATTATAACACATTTAAATGTTTCTAACATGGAAAAGTAACGTTTTAATACCAAACTAGCTTCTTTTCCCTATCATTATATAAAATTAAATTATTTTCCTATTCATATAGAACATTTTTGTGTGTTATTTTCATAATGCATTTATTCTGAAGTAAACATAAAATACAAGACAATATTTCCTTTAATATATAAACAAAACAGTTCAGTATGTTTTTTATATATTTATGTTATCCAGCTAAATTTATTGATTTTCAAAATACACACACAATATTTAATTTCAATCATATTTGCAGTTTGAGCTGCGCCGACTTCAAATACGTGAGCTTTCCTAATACAAAAGTTTACTTTATTGAAATTATTTCATTCTTTTTAGAGCGTTTAAAGTTGGTTGTATTTTTTTACAAAAATAAATTATTTCATGATTTTTAGTGACTGTATAATTTTGTATATATTAATTACTTGAGGTTTTTTGATAAGCAAAACTGTTTGAAACAATCAAAAGTTCAACAGAACAATCATTATTTTAAAACTGTTTTAGTCACCTGTTCAGGTTACATAATCAATGGGTATGAAAATAAACATTTTTAGATATTCCTTAAGAAAGAAAGAGTTGTCCATTACATTAGGCCTAATGAAAAACTAATTGTCTTTTCTTGATACATTGAAATGTCAGACATCATCGTTTCCTGCAATCGGTGTACTTCTACATTATAAAAAGAAATACAGTAACATCTCAAGCCTTTTGGAACAATATGAAAGTTATTCCTCAGCTACCAGCACTAAAAAATCTATAGTACCTTTGGAAAATATTATATGAAAGATTGGTTCAGCTAAAAGTGGTGTAAGTCATGTAGGGGGTTTTGTTTGCTCAAGATATAGCCTAGTATAAATTGCAAATCATCTTCCTCTAGCACTTTCCGAAGCAGGAATAATAGTATTGATATGATATAGTAACTGGGTAGAGAATATCAATAAACATTCCACATCTGCAAATGCATGTTTAGTAATTAAAATATTTAACACTTTTAAGACGATTGACGATTATGCACTGTCACACTTCTTAGGTCGTGTAAGGAATAATTGCATTTAATTTAGATTTAACAGAATAGTTAAAGATTGCAGATAATTAGAATTTTACATTTCTGCTGCCATTATTATGTAGCTTAGATAGGTGCCTGCCACAAACCGCCATGGAATTAGTAGCGCTAGAATATTTATATTTGTAAAAAGAAAAAGAAAAAAAATGTAAATTTTGTTTGTTACATTTTTGTGAATCAATTGGACCTCGCCGACAAGTTTTGCAAACTTGGCGAGGCCAGATTTTGTATTATCACAAATAAATAAATTTGAATTTGAATTTTTTGAATTTGAATTTTGAATTTATATTTAGACCTGTTTTACAAATGCTTTGGTTTTCACAATACACCTTTATTTGTCAATATCATACAGCTATTCACTGAAACATATATGTTTTTTTTAAGTCAGAATATTCAATACTAAAAACAGAATTACTGTACACAAATCAGATCAAATGTTAAAATACATTTTTTATAATGTTTTTTTTTTAACCCAGTGACAAGACCTGTATTATACAGTAATTATTTACCTATTTTGCCTGAAGGTCATGTAGTTAGAATTAACACTCGATGCGCATTTCGCCGCTCAGTGCGGCATCTTCATAGAGTATCTTCTTAAACACTACTGTTACTATGTACATATTTACACTATATTTTCGAATCACTTAAGCGGTCACACACTGTCATAACACTGTCACTGTCAACCACTCAGATCCAGTACAAGTCCATCACGTCAACAGTGCGGAACGAAATGTACCCCGCCGCTCGTGTCGCCGCCGGGCAAACGCGACCGCGAATGTGACCGCTTAAGTGATTCGAAAATATAGTGTAAATATGTACATAGTAACAGTAGTGTTTAAGAAGATACTCTATGAAGATGCCACACTGAGCGGCGAAATGCGCATCGAGTGTTAATTCTAACTACAAGACCTTCAGGCAAAATAGGTAAATAATTACATTTTTTATAGTAACCAAAACAAAATGCATGGCAAGAAATAGTTTATTGATCAATATGAAGCAACTGTTTCATGAAGAATTGTCTCTAGCTTCATTTAAATAGTTTTAACTAACAGCTGTAGGAATGTTATCATTATTTATTGCCTTCTCTGCACAAATGTAAACAATCTGCACAAATGTAAACAAAATGAATGTTGAATATTTAAGGTTTTCAGAATTTTTCATCAAAACAAATACTATACTTAAACATAATATATAAGGTACCTAATAGAAATTCTCCTGGATATTTTGGTGGTGGAACCACACTGATCGGTAAAAGAATCACAGAGAAATTTGTGAACATACATAGAAAAAAAAAAAACATCGCCACAAACAAATTGAGAACCTCCTCCTTTTGTTGGTAGTGGGGAAGTCGGTTAATAAAAACAAAGCAGGAGTTTTCCATTTAATATTGAATCCATAATTAATTAGT